TTAGTGTGGTTATAGGTTATAGGTTATAGGTTATATAGGTTATAGGTTATAGGTTATTGTGGTTAGTTAGGTTATAATTATAGTGTGTGGTTATCAGTTTTTAGGAGAAGCTATTATTTTGGGGTCACCTGAGCAGCACCGAGACAGAAGAACTTCTTTCATGCAGTCTTTGAGCAGAGGGGGTGTGTGTGTGTGTTTGCTAGTCTACTGTTTTAGAACAATGCAATCCCATGTGAGTTGTGGCTTTTCATGAGGGATACAGTTCCCTGTGGCCTCTCCTCCCAGGCCACGTGGGTGTTAAACTACCTTGTTTAAGGAGACCCTCTTGGCTTAACCGCCTTTTTTCTCCCTGTCCCCACATCAACCTAGGGCTTCTGCAGTGTCTGTTCAAACGCTCACTTTACTTTTGGATTCCAGTTCATTCTGCTTTCTTCATTAAGCTATCTATTTTATCCTTCACTTCTAGCTTTTTTTTAGGATATTTTCAGTTTTTTTTTCTTGTCTGTTACAATGCTGGAAATAGAAGTCTTCCCCTAATATTTTTTGTAGTTTGATGTGTTGCTTCATCACTATTATATGCTACCACAGTGCTTTGTAATGAGTTTTTCACTTCTCATTATTCACAACTTGTAATTACACATTATTGTGCGATTCTGATTAATTTTTGTCTCCCCCACAAGTTATTTAGCTCCACCACTGGATGAAACATGTCTATTTTGCTTATTCATGATGGTTCAGAACCCAGTACAGTTCCAGGCACAAAGCTTATATTCAGTAAATATTTGATAAATGAATGAACATGAAGAACCTGAAGACAATAAAAATGAACACATGTCACTCAAGTGTTGTAATGTAGGCTCTGTAATATAAGATGAAGAAAACTGGAGCTGATTTTAAGGTGAAGAAAAGTGCCAAAAAGAAAGACAATATCCCTTTGTAGGTGTTGGAGAAATACAGAAAAGCATACTGCATTTGGTGGTTTACTCCAAACTTTACCAGGCAGTTTTGGAAATGTTGCTCATACTCTATTGTTTTTTAAATGACAGATAATAATGCTCACTTGGTAAGGTTGCTATGAAAACTAAGCAAAATAAAGAATATAAAATGGGACCTAAATCATATTCTGGATTTACAAATAGCCATAGCTCTTCTACACCTGGGAATCTTTGAAAGAGAATTTACTTAGGTGAAAAAAATTACACTCCTAAGAAATCCCTCCTGAGTATAAGGATGTGCAAGAATGGGCTAGTGAGCTTGGAATGATTTGTTGCTTCTGGTGGAGACTTGTTTGTGGGGGGAGGGGAGCACTGTGGTTCATGTGCAGTGGGTTTGAGTCAACTGGTCTCGGGGTGAGGGAGATGGCTTAGGTGGCCATTTAACTCCTTTCTATCTATGAGTCTTGGTTAACTGCACATATCCAGGGAGAACGGAAAGATTCCTTATCCACTGAACTGGCTAAAGAGCTTTTTCTACATTTCAAAGTGTTAGTCACTACCAGGTATTTAAATCACCTCTCACACTCTCACATTAGCACTAATATGCTCAAAATTACATTATCTTAATGAGGCATCTTGATAATGAAGTGCTTCACCTGTGGTTCTGAGAAGAAAAATCAGTCTTCCAAGCCATATGGGGACAGCTGAGTTCCCACAAACTCAGAATCCCTCTGAACATGAACTTCCTTCCAGAAAGAGCATGCAGGACTCCTCCCAGGTACAAGATGAGGGGCAAAAGGAGGGAAGAGAGAGAACCTTTAAAAAACTGTTTAAATTAAGATTTTAATATCTCTTCACATGATAGATTCTATCCCAAAGTCCCTAATGTCAATGCAGTCAATAATTGAAAAGAGGTATGATTTCACAGTGATGTTAAACCTCATCTTATGTTTTGTCTGTTCAGAGAGCTGACTTTCTGCATGCACAGAACAGAAGGCTCCCGACATGATGTGATTTAAAGGACATCGGAAGCTATCCTTCATCCTGAAATGTCAGCCTATCTGCAACATTTCATCATTGCAGTTGATTCTTACTTTGAAAATGCAAATGCAAATATCTTTAACACAGATGCTCCTGGACTTATGATGGGGTTATGTCTCAATGAACCTAGTGTAAAAAAATATATCATAAGTCAAAAATGCATTTAATACACCTGACATACCAAACATCATAGTTTCACCTAGCTGAGCTTAAACATGCTCAAATTACTTACATTAGCCTACAGTTGGGCAAAATCATTCCCTGATGATACCCAACATCACAAGAGACTATCTTACCACATATCACTAGCCTGGAAAAAGATCAAATTCAAAATTCAAAGTATGGTTTCCACTTTCACTCCATTGTAAGGTTGAAAATCATTAAGTCATAGCATTGTAAGCCAGGGACTGTATGTACATTCACTTGGCTGTACTGTGACCAATTGTGTGTAAAATAGGTTGCATATTCTAGGTGGTCCTTGAAGAGATTAAATAATCCTGAAATATTTTGCATCATTATGGCGACCTCCTTGAATCTACTCCATCCCTTCCCCATTAGATAATAGCCAGTCCAAAGCTATGTAGATGTGCTTTATTGCCACAAGCTAACAGTATAATTTGCTCTCTCTTTAAACTATGGTGGGTTTAAAGCACAGTAAGAACACAGTACTCCTTAGGTCAAAGTCATTACTTGAGATTTACTTCAGGCTTTACATCTATCTACACAGAACATTACTTAAAAGAAAAAAGAGGAACTTCTTCAGTGACTGAAAAATAGTGCTACTGAAGCCATTCTGTGTCCATGAGGGGAGCCAGAGTAAGGACCAAGACAACAGACACAAGAGCGTGGAATCACAGATAATACAGTTTGTGGTCACCACACCTGAAGCCTGAATTCTTAGTTTCATGGGCCAATATGGCTTTGTTACCTTAAAAAATAAAACACCATTGAGTCAAGTACACTTGCTTGTATACCCATTTAAAAAGACAGAACTTGCTTTTTAATTACTGGTTATTAATGAATAATGATTCTCTTCTCTTTGAGTTTCCTAAGGCTGGCATAACTTTCTTCCAATAGTGGTGGTAAAGGGTCCTGGAGAGGAAATCGGGGAAATTTCACAGAGGAAGAGATAAGAGTGGCCATTCTAAGGAGTGAATAAGTGTTCTCTGGGTAGGTCAGGGCAAGGGGCAAGTGTTCTAGAAAAGTAAAGAATATGAAAACAAAAGAAACCACTGTCAACAATATCCCTCAATACATCTAAAGTAGGTTTTCTGTTAAGCTCCAAATTCAAAACAGTTTTCCAAATTGAACTGATTTGAGTTCATGAAAAATTCTTTCTTTATGAACAAAGAAAAGATTACACACAAGTGCTCCAGTGAGACCACAGCTTGTGAAGTGTGTGTCTAGATAAGAGATAATTGCACAAGTAATATCCATAAAGGCACAAACCAAGATGCTTTTGGTGAGGATGAAGTTTCTAAAGCATGTACTTCAGGATTTGGTGATAGCAAACACGTTATGTGTTATATTGAATTATGCCACAGATTTATTTGATGTGACCTCAATTTGACAAACTCAGTGACATTTTAAATTTAATCCTCTCTCTAAAGTTTAAACAGGCCTTGATAGGTAAAATGCCAAATTTATCATATGTACTGTGATGCAGCATTCTTTGTGGCCCAGGAATCACTTGGGCCTAGCAGAACAGCTCCTTTAGCTTTGGATTTTTAAAATTTCTTCCTATAAGAGCTCACATTTATTTTCTGGGGCCAGGCTGGAGACCAGATACCACATTATTTTCTCATTTTCCAACTTTTATCAGTCTGTTCCCTCAGAGCCAACCTATATCTCCTCCTTCTTGTTAGCATATGAATCCATTTCTTCATATAAATTAGCTCATGCAAATACACAGCTAACCTCATTCATCCAATTACTTCTTTAGCTTAGCTAGGATATTCTGTAGCATATTTAATATAATCGAGGAAGTAGATTTTAGCAGAAATAGCAGAAATGCATTAATATATCAGAGCCAAGAACATAGTACAATGATGTGTAGAATAATACAATATACTTTAATTTTGATTAAGCAGTAGATCCCAGTACCCATGTGATAAAGCAGGTGAGAGCACTGCCTGTAGCTGCATTCTGATGAATGGTTACTTCCTACTGACCAGCACTCATTTTGTTGCACAGAAGGCACCGCATAAATGAATCTTGGAGACTATAATTTAAAGACAGCCAATATTGTAAACATAGCCTTTGGAGGGAGTTGTAATGCATGTAGTCTTGCATAGTTAGTTGTGTGTTAAAACAACATAGTTCATGGGGATTCCTGAGACTGAGGCCACCTGAATCAAATGTTGTTAAAAGAGGTTTGCATAGAATTCACTTAAATTCAACAGATTCCTTGCCATTCATTTGTAATTTAACAACATAAATGTAACTTTAGGTTGGTCTCTCAATCATTCTGTATTGAGAGATAAAGGCTTATTAGTCTTAGACCCATCATTGAGAGGCATTATAAAATGTAAAGCCATTGCCTTCTCTGAAGTGAAAGCATCAAATAAATTATGCACTAAAAGCGGAAACTGATAACTTCTAAAAGAGCTTCACCTTGTCTTAACAAGAGACTCGAGTCAGTCTCCCCATGTTGGGGTTTAACAAGAGAGATGAGAGTTTTCCTCCCAAGGAAATCTAGGCTGCCAGAGCACAACTGTCAAATGGAACAGGTGTATTTTCTGATAGTTTCTTAGCTAGTAAATGACACATTGGGATTAATCTCAGGTTGGCATAATATCAAATGTCACACACTTAAACAACACTTCATATTAGAAACATAATTCAAAATTGGCCCTGCCTAATAATTGCGTCAGAAGTGTCGTTACTGGCCATAATGATAATGCATTGAGAACACTCCATTCATTCGTTTCCCAGTCTTTCATTTACTGTTCATTCATACTCTTAGTCATTGTCATTCATAGTATGAAAAAATATGCTCAAAAGAATCTATGACTCATTCTTTTTGGAATCATTTATTGGTTTAAATATTTTGATTTATACAGTAATGTGACAATTTAGATTTATACAGTAAATAAATGCATGACTTAAACAGATAGTTTTGTAATGAATTATGTAAATATAACACGCTACTATCATTTCTACTCTGTTTTATAAGAAACCCAGGTTTTCATCACTTATTTTTCATATACAAATTTACCTTTCTACAGTGTGAAATACAAAGACATTTGGCATAATGAAACACGCTATTTACATTGTGCATGATTTAACATAATTAAAAATAAACATAATCAAATAAAAAGTGGTATAATATGAAAAGCAAAAAGATACAGTAGATGTTTATAACCCTATAAGTGCTTGCATACTTTTACATTTACTAGTATTCTTAAAATTCTAGTGAAATGAGACATGTTTTATCATTTCTCTAAACCTGTACTACTGAATAAAGAAAACTATTTTAAAATATAATATGAAACACTAAATGAAACATATTTTTAAATTAATGGTACAGGCTTAGGAGATGCATTCATCTTTTAAAACATGAAAAATAGCTTGATATTTCAAACTATGTGTAATTTAACCATGCCCTACAGATTTATTAGTATATTTACCTGGTATTATTTGATGATATTGTAATATAAGTTTGCGATAAGTAGATTTTTAAAAGAAATGATTCACAAAGTATAATCTGATAGCAAAATAGCAGATATACAATATTATTTACATTGCAGACCAAACCAAAAATTTAGACCTGTGAAATTACAGTAATGAATTGGATGAAACATTAAAATAATCATGTGTCTGGTTAAGTGAAACCTACCCCATGCAGAGGAAGTGAAAGAAGGCCCAGTATATTGTAACTATGTATTTTTACTAAGTGGGTTGCGAATCCTATTTATTATTATATACTCTGGAATGTTTGATGGAGATGCATTGGCTGTTTATCATATGCATTGAAATGAGCAGGCATTTTTTTTTATCTAAAGTACTGTTTGGGATATGAGACCCTTTGGTTTTGTAAATGACTACTCACAGCTGAAAAGTCAGAAGTCAGGTAGGTAGATTTTGAAATAAAGAATGATATGTATTATTTCTGAAATGCACTTAATTCATTTTAAAAGCATAATCAGGCAGTTTTGTCACTTGATTAACAATGCTATAATGAGTAACAGGCAGCCATTATAAAACTTTTGAGTGTTTTCAAGGCAAAATTCTCAGGAAGATTTTTTTAATATGGAAAATTCTGTTCATTCGACTCTGAAAAACCATTAACTATTTTTTTCTATTTGAACCTAACCTGACTTCCCTAGTAAGCATAACCAACCATGATGATGTGATTCAGTTTCCACATAGAGTAATTTTTGCTCATCTCCAGATTCTTAGAGGAGACAATTAGTAGCTTGCCAAATTGGGCCTTACATATCAATTCAGCAGGAGATAACAAAATAGAGGGAAAAATGGGACTGTGGATCGCAGCTATGCAAATTTCATCTTAATTTCTTTTGTTTTTTTCTCAACTACATTTCCTCTATTTTTACATTCATTATTAAAAATGTTTCTCTCAAGAAATAAAAAATGATAAAGTTATTAAGGGTCTTATTTCTTAATTTGAATAAGTATTATGATTGTCTATCATTTCAAGACAAATGCTTTCTTAATACTGAAAATCACAGGAAGAAATTAATTGGCAGTTTCATAACTGTCAATTTATATGGTAGCTGCCTGTTTTTCTCACAGTTCCAAAATAATTTGATCAGTGTTAAATACATAATCTGTTAACACAGAAATTCTTCCTTTTAGAAGTTTTTAATTCTCTGAAGTTCTCATATCCTTATCTTTGTTTGACTACCTGATGTGATAGAGTAGAGGAACCCTGAGGTGTGTGACAAAGAAGTCCAGATGAGAATAAGACCCGAAAATCAGAGGCATTTGATTTAGTGAAGCATATCTTTCCAGAGAAAAAAAAAGCTGTATTATTTTTATATATTTTCTGTTACTGAACACAAATAAACATCATGGAGACAATGTGTTAAGTATTTTGAATGTAATAATAGTACACTAACATAAGAAAAACATGAATAAGATAAAATATTTAGTTTTAGAAATTAAAGATTCTTTAAATCTTGTTAAAGTACTGTTAAAATTATTGTAGTGTCAAGAGTACCTAAAATGCAAAAGCATACTCTTATGTCTTCCTCATTCTTATTCTTTCAAATAAGATATTTTACTTTTTTTCCTTATGAATAAAAAACTCTGCTACAAGTAATTGAATTTTCCCTGGGGAAAAAATGGCTTTGAATTGAGATTTGTAAATGATTATACCTTGAGGTATCGCAAAATGATCCAACCTGTGTCTTTTTGTGTTTAAGAACTTGGTAATTTGTTAATTCTGGCAAATAAGTAAAAGCTGTGGTTACAAATAGCTATTTGAATATATGTTAAAATCTCAAAGACACAGAGCTAACAATTATGAAATACATTGTATGTTGCTTTTTCAATAGAGTAGCCTTATAAAATTGATGGCAAATGTTTTCAAACCCTCACAAAAGATTCAAAACACCATGCTGTGTGAAACTGAGTTACAGAGGGCTAAACAGGAAGCATGACTGTTAATCAGTTACTTCTGGGTAAAGAGAGTAAAATCAAGTAGTATTTGGTATGTTCACCTTATTGGGAAGTAGTTTTTAGGAAATGATTTCCCTACAAATAAAAAAGATACTTTTTTCTGTTTCAATCTTTGACAGTGTGATACTCAAGTAAAAATTTACTATTTAAAAATAAAAGAATTTTTTTAAATTAAGGTGTTTGCACAGGAAAAATATGAGGTTGTCCTAAAAGATTTGCCCTAATACCTCTTAAGAAAATGTTTAAATTCAGCTAAAACAAACAACATATATACTTTTTAGACCCATGTTTCTCTTAACATATGAAGTCTCTGGAAGCCCAGGTCTCAATTTTCTCATTTGGGCTAGATCAATTTCTAATCCAAATGATCTACATCTAATGTCCACCTTTGTTTCCTTACCCACTATCCCACAGTGTTCAACCATGTAACATTGAAATGGGGGGGCCAGCCAGAATAATAAATTCTGTTTTCACATCCTTCTAAGAGTGAGAGTAACAGAAAGAGAGAGAGAGAGAGAGAGAGAGAGAGAGAGAGAAAGAGAAAGAGAGAGAAGGAAAGTGAGGAGGAGGAAAGGAGGCAAGAAGGGAAAGAAGGAAGGGAAAAAGGGAGGGGAAGGGAAGGAAAGCAAGAATAAAAAAATAGAAAGAGAGGCTGAGGATACTGACAAACTTTAAGAACCTAATTACTTTACTTCACATAATACCTTTACATATAGCCCACTCATGTTAACGTTCACCAGCAGTGTCATCAAGAAATAATATTAAATTCTGTTGATATTCAAATTATAGCCACACTCAATATTTAGACTCTTGCATGGGTTATCATTCTCATAAAGAATATACTAATATTTAATTAGATCATATAGCCAGTATTGATTGAAGACATAATACCAAGCTTTCCCAACAGAAAACTTTTATACTGGTGGGTATACATAACACAAGAAGTTATTTTTGTTCCTTTTAATAGTTTCACTATTATTAACATACTTAGGTTTCTGTTTTATCAAAGTTTGACATGTTGAATTTCATATTCTGTTAAATATTAATACTATGTTTAGTATCTATACAGTTGGCCCTTGAACAATGTGAGAAGTTAGTGCCACCAATCCCTATGAAGTTGAAAATTCACATATAACTGTGAATCCCCAAAAACTCAGTTGTCCCTGGGTATTTGAGAGGGATTCATTCTAGAACCCCGGCAGATACCCAAATCCATGGGTGTCCAAGTCCCATATATGAAATGGCATGGGACGTTGCATGCGGTAGGCCTTCTGCATCCACAGATTCCCAGCCACAGACTGAAGATACTGTTTTCTATCTGCAGTTGCTTGAAACCATGAATGCAAAATCTGGAGATTAAAGAGCCAATTGTATATTTGTTAGAAAAAATCCATGTGTAAGTGGACCTGCACAGTTCAAACCTGTATTGTTCAAGGGTCAACTGTAATCAGTTAACCTTCCCACCTATTTTTAGCTTTTGTTCCTGGTTAGCAGCGTTGGGCTATAGACATAATTTAAATATATGCAAAATTTGATTTTGCTATCTCTTTTCCTATTCCATGTTGGTGTCCTTTCTTAATTTTTTTTGCAGTCCAGCTGAATCCAGCTAAAGTACTTCATATATACTCATAAGATAGGATACTTTCTATACTCAGGTACTCATTTGCATTTTAGTAGGAGAATTCTTTTGGACAGGATAAAAAAAGTATTTTTAAGGATCAAAAGAAAGGGCAATGAGTACCAATTATTAAAGGTCATTGAGTTACATAATGAATGAAAAGAATGGATTTTATAAGTGCTTGGTGATACACTTGAAACAAATTAAAAAAATAAGAATAATAATTTTGGCTGCTATCCATGAGTAATTATCTTTGCACAAGACCAAAAATAAAAAATTAAAAAATTTCCCTGAATTACTATAGATAATTATACAGTCATCTAGTTTACCTTATCCTTCTTGGCTAAAATGGAATCTACTATAAGAATTAATTTCTTCTTCTTGACAATAATTTCTCATCAAATAACACAAAATCAATTTATTTAAGACTCCAAGCCAAAGCTGGGTTTTTATTTCAACATGATGATTTATACAAATAAAATTTGAAGGGAGGTTTCACATTGTTGAAAAACTATCTGGCCACTTTAGTATTTTGCTCCACTTTAACTAGGATGCTTTGAACCAAAAAAGCTATAAAAAAGAAGGGAGTCTTTTAAGTGATTATACACAAATATAATGATACAGATCACCTGTCTCAAAAGAAACCCATGCTCTCTTACTAGGCTTGAAAATTAGTGATATTGGCCATAAAGGAAAGCTTCTTGGGAGGCAATAATGGAATTGTTTTAGGATTTGAGGTTCCATTGGGTATGGAAACGCATAGTTTCTTATTAGAGGTCATGTGTTGTTCAAATTATTTTAACCTAAATTAGCTTTGACTCAGATTTTATTCTGAGAAGTTTGAAAGGTTTTGCCCTATATGCAAATTTGAACAAGTCTAAATACAGTATTCTTTGACCGTTATCCTTAACCCTTATATTATTAAAAATAGTTTATTATTTCAGGTAAAAGAATGTTACCAAATTTGCAAACCATGGCTCAATGTCACAATTTGTAAGTTTGTCTTATTTATGACATTGTCTACATTTTTATTTTCTTCCAGAAAAAAGAACATGGAGAAAAAACAATTTAAATATAATTTATAATTATATGTTATCTATGGGGGATAAAACCTCAAGAAATATTACATCAACAAAATTGTTCATCTTTCTCAGTGTTGTAAAACATGATACATTTAGAAAACATTCAAAAGGCTCTAGCATTCTGACTTTTGGAAATAAGTAAGCTGACTCTTCTGAAACAGCAAATCTTTATCCTAAATTATTTTTCTAACTGATTATTCTGATTAAAAATTGTTCAGGTTTGTTTCCTCCTTTTAAAATTTCTGTTCTAATCAAACTCTGCTTGAATTAATCAATTATGTGTAAGTGAAACATCTTTGGATGATAGTAAGAAGTTACCTAAGCACTTTTAATATTGGAAGACAGAGTCATCTTCATCTCTCCCACTGCACGCCATCAAATGCTATGGGGTGACTCTCTCCCGGGCTCCAACTCCCTGGAGAACCCCTGAATGAGATGAGGAGGCTGGTCAGGTCAGAAAGGCTTCCACCTGCTCTAAAGTTGAGCACATGTTTTGCTAGCGCCCAAAACCTCACTTGAGAGCAATGTGAAGAACATAGAATATAGTATAGGCCCAGCAATGATTTTAGGACATAAATATTTCTCATTCTTTGTGATTAAGTTTCAAAACCAGGGAAGGATAGTTTTTATAATGTCAGAATTTTTTTAAAAAGGATGTATGAAATTGAATTGTATTTTTCTCACTGAGTGTTAGCTCAGCCAGGAATGCTATAAAGGCAGGAAGGAGGGGAGTTTTATTTTCTTATCAACTGCACTCTGATAGTTTGTTCTTTTGTGCTAATTTTAACAGCCTTTCTGTGACATGTGGCAGAGCTGGTAGTTGGCTCTTTTCATTCCTTCAGTATAGCTGTTCTGACACTTTCATTTACCATCATCAGTGTAACCAAGATTAGTGCTGTCTGCCACCTTCATGGGGTTCCTGTACACAGCAGCTCAGGGAGTTTGGAATCCCAGCTTCACTGATCTGTGCGGCTGCTGAAAGGATGACATGACCCCCTAACAACACTGAAAATGGCTTCTAAAGGATTCTTCTCCCCTCTTTTTAAAGTAAGAAGACCACCAGTTAAATAAATCATCTAACTCTCATTAAACCACATCTCTATTATGTAAACCGTGTCTGCTTTCAGAGTATCTATGCTGTCATGAAGACAACAAGTAGATCTCTTTGATCCATCTCACCCAAAGCCCTTGCCCATGTCACTGTTTCATCTGTCCCTGTGTCCTGAGACTGATGTATAATTAACTGTCAGATAACATAAAAGGAGAAACAGTCTTTAAAAAGTGAGGTGGTATGAGAAGCAATTTTGCATGTTTCTGATTTTTACCTCTATTACTGCCTTATTTATATTTAATTATATTTAGTAGACCATGTTAAAAATATATTTGGTAGTATCTCTTCTTTATCTACAAAGAGTGAAAAGGCCACAGAGGAAGTTTGAATATAAACCAATTACTTAGGCTTGCCATTTAGTTTTGCTTGTGTCTTCTGCTTTCAGATATTAAGCAACAGTACTTAAATATCATATTAAGAATGATGTTTGCAACTAGATGAATTAACTGAGAGGATAAATTCACTATAATTTAATAGTTTCAAGCTATTTTCATTATTTATAATAGTCAAAAGCATGCTTATTAAGTGTTAAGCATTGATTGAATACAAAAAGACATCTGTCAAAACTTTCTCAGTGAGTCAACAATCCTATTTGATTTGTATAGGGGAATTTTCTCAACTGTGGGTAGGAAGATGCTAATTTAAGTTTTGCCATAGTTAATGGGAACTTAAAATACTAGCAAACCCACTCACCATTCCAGTTGTGTTCAGATTCATGATTAGAAGAGAGTTTACCCAGCTAGACAATAATAGGAGCTATAATCTTATTTACAGGCTTAAGAATGGAGTAAAGCTCATATGATTTGCTAAATAATAATCTGTTCATTAGAAGATCCTTAATGTATCATAAGTTTACCAGTTGCTTTTAGCTGTAATCCCAATACATTATTCTAAATTATGGAAGGGCAATTTAACTATCAAAGGACTGAATATTATTGACCATGGCACATTTGATTAAAATTATATTTTAAGAAGTAAAACTATATAAATTATTCCCTTTGAAATCTGCAAGCTCTGGTACTATTATCAAAATAGCTAAGAGGAGCAGGTTATTTTCAATATGACTACATAATCATTTTCAGATGTTTCTTAATTATACTACATATGATTTTCAACCATATTCTGAAACCAAAATACTATTACACTTACTAAACACTTGTCTTCATAGAAAACAGTGGTAATAAGCTCCTTTTATCTCTAAACTTTCATCTTCTAAAACCTCATCAAAGCTACAGTTGCATTAATTGTCCCAAGACCCATCTATATTTTCATAATGCCTACATTCTCAGTCAATTCATCCAACATGTGTTCTACTTCTACTCAGGTATCTGTTCTTAACTGCTCCTTAGTATTATACACTGTGAAGATCTGAAAATTTGGACAACATTACATACATACACATTTCTTGAGAGAAATACTATTATGGGTATTTTGAAAATTATATGACAGAAATAATCTGACAAGAGTATATTAATTGCCTTAAAGCATGTGTGCAACTGAAAGACTTCTGAGAGAACAGATTAAGCATGTAATTTTCTCAGATAATTTTTATCTGACTTATCACTTGCTGCTCATTTTACTGTTTTAAAATGGTGAATATTTTTTCAAAGTCCACAGCAGCTATATTATTGCTTATATAGAACATATCTCTATTTCCCTAAAAGCTCTATGACATGCAAAAAAGTGCAAGGTTCAGATGGTATCACCACCATGGCTTAAATTATTGCTTAAAAGGTTGTTGCAAGGTATTGCTAGGGAATCCTTTTAGATGAATGTACAGTTCGACGTCAAAAGTACAAAGTGAGACTAAGTATCAAGTTGATTTTTTATAACATAAACATCAAAGTAGTCAGAAATAAGGCTATCACTTTGACATTTCCTTCTCTGTCCAGAAGTTCATAGTTGATATCTTGATGGTGAGGATCAGCAAATTCTGTGATGTACTGCACACTTCAGGTAGTAATTAAGAAAATGGGACCATGTCCAGTATGCCTACTAGCCTTACAGTGAGCAGTATTCATCAGTGTTTATTTGTCTCTAATAATTTTGAAGACTCATACTCAAAAAGCAGACAATAAATTTTAAACCAAAGCTAAAATTAAAACTTGTGAAAAAATAATACTATGAAGCTTGGAATATTTAGCTTTCAAAATAACTACAAATAAAATAATATATTGCTGTCTCATTCAACTTGTATTTATTCCTAGTAATTGAGATTATTTGAATACTCTTCAGTGATCTCCAAATCTGGCAACATATTAGCATTACCTAGAGTGATTTTCTAACTATGATTCCTGAGACCTACTAACCTGAGACCTACTGAATCCAAATCTCTGAAGGTAAAGCCTAATAATTTGTATTCCTAAAAGCTTCCCAGGTAATTTGTTTGAAGCCAGCCAGATACTGCCAAGTTGATGAGTTGAACCATTGAACAGTATAATTTCTTAACACAAATGGGACAGCAATAAGACACTTGACTGATCAGTCACAACATATTAGAAATAAAGACACTAACTTAACTTTTCTACATCCCAATTCCTCCCAGAATGCCACTCCTTTTAACCTTGAAATAGTTACATTCAACACACACACACACACACACTCACACACACAAGAATATTCATTACTTTATAAAACAAACTATTTTACAACATGAGATTGACTGTGATTCTGTCTATGTTATAAACATAGCAATGACTTCTTTCAATGAAAGAAAGAAGGAAGAAAGAAGAAACAAAGGAGGAAAAGAAACCAAAAAGTGGTAGAACAATAGTGAGGTTTCAATTGTTTGAATCAAGCATGAGGAAAGAATTTTGCACACTATCTTAATATATCCTGACAATTTATGTTAATCTTTAGATAATATCAGTGTCTGTTCTTTAGTTCCTACCACAAAGATCTTGAAATTGAGTCTATAGTTGGGATCAATTTACACATTTAACAATAAAATTTGTTCAGTCATTTTAACACAATTTATGTGTGTTAAATCAGCTGGCTGTGAATTAAGTATATTCATATCAAAAAATATATATTCATGTCAGAGCTACCTATAAGAATCATCATTCAGAAGGGAATATGTTAAACTTTAATGAGTTGGCTCTTCATGCATTATGGTTTTCAGGCTGTATCTCATAACACATGTTCATAGAAGCCTCTGAAATGCCAGTTTTTGTAGTTCAAGATCTGTAATCTCATCACAGAAGTACCCACAGGTTATAATATGAGACTTGGTTGTTGGTCTCAAGAGTATAGGTATTGTTGGCTGAACAGCATCTGGTGCCACCCACAGCCTATGTAAAGTCATATATAATTCATTCAAAGGAATATTCAATGAAGTTATATCAAATGCTTGGAGTCAGATTGTATTTTGAAGAAAAAGCAGAGAGAAGCGTTGATGTCAACAGTGCCCCCAGCACAACTGGGATGGTTAGTTCACTTCAGAAGTGCATTGTTACTTGGGCCTGAAGTTGTGTGAATCTTCCTATCAGCCTGAAACAGGCCTCAGAAACTCTTTTGGTGTCCATGTGAGGTTCAGAGGTACAGACGACGGTGTTTCATGGGGCCAGGCTTGAGTGGGCGGGATGGTTTCCAGTGGCATCAGGGAGTAAGAAAGGGTCTGGGCATGGGATAGGCAGTACTCAAAATGCATGACAAGATGCTCATTGCAGAAGTTTTACTCTCTACCCTGATAATCCACAACACCTGCCTTTAACAAGTCAGGAACCCTGAGAGCCTTTCCAAAATATATTTAATGATGGTCATAATCTTGTGCTCTCTCTTCATACCTCACAACCCGAAACACACTATTTGAATTGGTAGCAATTTGATTCTGTACAAAACACAGAGCCTGGTGGTTTTCCAGTTTCTCTGTGGCTTTGCCTTTTGTATGTATCAATTTAATTTTGCTCTATTGCTAGAACTCTTTGGAGGAACTTGTAAAATTAAAAGCTTTGCTGCACTTGTAAATTAGTACTTTAGGTTGTTGTCCTCTTCTGCTCTGTTTTTCTAGAAGAGGCATGCACTTTTGCATTTTCATTATAAAACACTATGGTCTCAATACCACTGTCACCAGACAAGCAGAACAACAGTGAGACTACGAGAGGTCACACTGAAGTGCTGGATCCACAGACCTTTCTCCAGTCTCAGTCACCAGTGTCTGTCTCAGCAGGTCATCACTCACTGGACAGCCATGTAGTCAGGGGTTAAAAACTAAACCCCAAATAATTTAAAACATAAGAGAAGAGATTAATATCAGGGAAGATTTTAAACATTTGGATCCTTCTCCACACCATACTATACAGCATTTCTCTAGACATCAAGTATTATTTTTTAATTATGGCTGATATTAGCTATTAAGGTTCACAAAGCACATACTGTGCAGTATGTTTTGGGTACATATTGGGGGTTCTGACTTTGTTAGATAACTGACTTATTTCCAAATGATGACCTCATCTCCATCACAACGATGCTGATGCCAGTGAAAAGCTGTGGTCCTGGTGACTAGTCATAAAGTGACTTCTCCCAATCTTTTGCTTGAAAGAACACTAAAACAGGAGCTACAGGTGCCAAGTTATATTTAAAGTATCCCTGGAGAGTGGGTTAAAGCCATTTCCCCAATTTAATACTACTTGATTTCAATGGCTCATCCATTTAAACTCCTTTTAATCTGCCAGGCTAAAATGAATGATGGGTGTAGTGGTTTGTAGGTGAGAAGACTGTATAGATATTAGTCAGATGAAAGAACAACTACCACCCCTTGTTATAGCCACAATTGCTAATGGAAATATGGAAGACAAAAATACGATGCTTTTTCACAGCTTCCAAATTCTATGACTACAACTAGAGTGAACAGCCATTTTAAACTGTACCTTGCAAACATATACAGCAATAGTTTAACTACAATGATCAATTGTACTAAATTGGCAAAATGCTAACAGATTGAACGATTTTCTCAGGCTATAGCTTTAAAGATATATGTAGACTATAGTGCATGAAAAATGTAGCTTATATCATGCCTGTGATATTTAGTAGGTCTCTGGCATATTCTTCATTGTGACATTTATGACAATGTAAATGCTACTTCTTCTCTAAGTAAAATCATATAAACTAAGAAAGAGTTTGTTATTCTTCTGACAAACTGAATGCATATACAATTCTTGTTTTGGGCCCTATTACCATGGCTGATAATAAAGTAGATTTCCAATGATGCTTTTAGAATATGCTTCCCATAGGTGATCATAAGTATAGAGAGAATAACTATATGCTTAGAATAGTTGCCTAAATGAATCTTTACAAGCAGCAGAGAAATAGATTGGATGATTCCTGGGAGTCTCTTTCAGCCTTATGGTTACATAATACATTGTTTACTGCCAAAACATTTATTGATCCACCATATCATAATAAACTCTTAGTTACTGTGCAGAATAAGCATAAATGACCTCAGTGAGCTGGGTTCTTTCCCATGCTCCTGCACTGTAAGGAGCCCACCAACACAGCTCAGGGATTCCCTATTCTCGGCATGAGGACTGTACAGCTTGCCTTCATTCCCTATGAAGGAAGTGTGTTAATCTCCAAGTGCCCTAAAGAGTTCTTTTGTGAGTGATTACTCCCATGAGAGCACCTAGTCCCCAGCCTACACAGCCTCTCATAAACGCCCTGGCCATCTAACCCCATGTAGTTAAAAACAGAGACCTAGATGCAGGGAAGAGAGAGAGACAGGCAAGGATTCAGAGAGCTCCAGGTCTAGGTCCCGCCCCACATGAAGAATGTTACCCTAGTGTCCTCATAAGCTTCAGGGCTAGATGGAGTTCAACAATTATAAAAGTGATCACCATTGTAACATATACTTTGCATGTCTGTCAATGTTTTCTAGTTACACACTTAGAGAACTTAAAAACACTAATTCAGCCTCACAATGACATTGACAGTAGTTAATATGCTCTTTAGCTGAGTTATATCATAACAAAATCATAATGGAGCCAAAATCTCTGACCAGAAGAAGAAATACATTGTATTCAGAAGACATAAGCTATTAATGACTGTACCTACTATAGTAAGAAAATGGATACCCTAAGATTTTAAGGAAACAAATATTTCCTGCTCATTAGCCTTAATAGAAACTTAGGTTTTACATCTGATTCAAAAAAGCAAATCCCTAGACACACTGTGCTCCAAATTTCAGGGTGTATCTGTAATAATGTTTTCATGCAGTGCTAATTATTGGGAACTGGTCTTCATTTTAGCAGAACATGAGATGGAAGCCTATCTGTAACTATGGTGATTACTAAGTGTAAAGGTTAGCCACACTTCAGTGGTCTGAAGGTGATTCACTGAATTTAAAACCTAAATCAATCAAACTGCAGAAGACAGTTTTTTTTAAACTGAAAGCCATAAAATACAGGGTTTATTTCCTTGCTTTTTATTATGCAAGAAGAAACAACACTGTTGGCAAAATGTCCCACACCTTTCTCACTAATGTCAGTATCCAGGAATTTGCTCCCAAGAGTGGCCTTCGGAGTCACCCACCATGAAGGGGGTGGGGAAATACGACATGTCATTTAGTATGCTACTCGTCATTGGAATGCAGTTTAGTACATTGCAATAAATACCTGTATTTGTAAGTGCTAAGTTGAAAAGTGTCCAGTGTAGAGAGCATTTTATTTTTGACTGGTATTTGCTAGAAGATGGCAAAAAGACCTTTCTTCAATCTTGGTTACAGATGCATCTGCTATTAGCAAATTCCATTTCTTCTGGGTTCCATGCTACAATAATCAAATCTAAAGGATATATTTTCTAAGCAGACATACAATGCTTTCTCATCATCTGAAATCCTTGGTCATATGTATTCTCAATCTGAGCACTAATGAGTAAAACTATATCCAATTAATAGGTTAGAGTTACATAATGTACCAACTATACAGTAGCAGACTCTGAAAATGTTATGTGTAATGTAATTATCTAGAAGAGATATGTATAAAAATAGGTAACATTCCTAAAATATTTTGGGGAGTTACAGTTCTTCCTGCTGGGAAGTTTACCACACTGCCATGATATACATATGAAATGTCTATTCAGAAAAACAAAATTAGAAAATATTCTTCACATAGCATCTTGCTAAATATAGGAATATATAATCAAAACTGGCTCTTAAAAGTGATACAAATGTATAGGGAAAGATACTTGTATGTGTGACAAACAAGAAAACATGAAGTCTATTTATTGGTTAGTTTGGAAAGAGGGCCCATACTTGTTAAAATACATATATGACCAAAAACACTCATATGAACAGACACACCTGATTCCTCCCCCTACCCTCCAGGTTTTTAACTGACAGTCATCACCCACCTTTTTCTAGGATTATTGCCTGACATAACATCAATTCTGCTGTTTGTTCTCAACACTGCTCTCCTGTCGTGACCCATGATCTGGGCTTGTGCTTTTGGTGAAGTCTTTGACCTGTAGCAGGTCTCAGAGGCTTGTCTCCCGGAGGAACATGGTGCCGATGTTGTAGGAAACCTTCTTTATCCTCGATGAAGAAAGAGAAGGCTTTGGTTGTTTAGGACCAGTCCTTATCTCCAGGAAATAGCAGATTCCAGGGATTTCCTTTGGAAAGTTGTCTGGAAGCTCTTCACGGGACCGAGGAATGAATGTGAAACTTTCTTCCCGTTTTAATAATCTAAGAGGAAAATATTGACAATGTGAATCAAATAAGCAGGGGAAATGTAAATAAATGGACAAAAATTCAAGACTCAGGAACCCAGTCAATGATTGTGCTCATGTTAATGCTACTATTTCTTTGTAGATATGTGGCCTTCATAGAATTCCAAATACTAGGAAATGTTATTTCTCAGGAGAGATCCCCTCATGCAATAATAATAACAACAACAAGCTGTTCCTAGTACTACTTGAAAATATTTGTTCAAGGTTGATTTCTTTCTAAATAGCATTACTTGAATATATTTGTTTAAATTTGATTTTTCCCTAAAAAGAGGCTAAGGAAACTGCATAATACAAGTTTTTGTTCAAACATAAAGGATTTACAATTTATGTTTTGAAAACCTGCCCAGATTCTAGAGCACCCCTTCTATGTTTTGTAGACTCCTGATAAGCTTTAAATGTGTATCCTTTGTGTCTGATGTGCAGACCAAGCATTTAGCTTTGTAGAACACCATTCATGACTTTGAGTGCCCCTGATACAGGCTACTGGTTTCTGGCAATACACATTTTTCTAAACTCACTAGCATTATTTGTCAAACAGCTGCAATCTTCCCTTCTAGTCATACTTAAAGACCCTTTTTTAGTACACAAAGACAGGTTGTACTCTTTCCCAGTCCCATGAAAGGTTCAGATTGATACTCATGCATAAAAATGTAGTCCAGAAATTCAATTTGATCTGACTCTTGGACTGCTTCTTATTGCCTAGGAAAAATCTTCTAGACCCAAGTATAATGATAAATAGAACTGAACCAAAGAAGCTCAAAGTTATATCAACAGAAATAAAAACAGTGGATAAAATAAGCAGAAAATAATTACTGAATAAACAAACAACAACACAGTAATATAAAAGTAGTTTAAAACAGAATGGGCTAAATACCACAAGAAAAGTAGATATAAATGGTGTGTAAGTCTACAAGAGGAAAAACATTTGCAGTAGGAGGATCACGAAGCCTTCACAGGAGAGGTATTACACATGTGAAGACTTTCAAAAAACGGAATGTGGAGTACAACATAATCAAAAGTTTAGAAACAAGAACATTATGATCAGGACCAACACGTTTCCAACCATTTGATAACATCAGGAATAAGGTCAGAAAGTTAAGGCCAAAGTAGTAGGTTAAGACAAAGCTCTGAAAACCTAAATTAAAAGTTTAGACTTACTTGGAAGGCATCATGGAGCCAAAGCATCACCTTTTCCTCTCATCCTTGTAAGACAAGTTAACATTAACAAGTTATGAAACGTAAGAGAGGGGTTGGGGAGAGCAACCCTTGTGACAGAGAGAAAGCAATAAGAAAAACAAAAATTATGTGAAAATATAAGATCATTGCACAAGCAATGATAATAATTTATACACTAAGGGAAAAAAGAAAATGAATCATTGCTTTTCAAACATTCTTAATGGATAAAAATATTCTCTGAAAATAACAGTTGGTAATACTAAGAATTTTTATAACATGAGAAATCTATATTTACTTTTATAAACCAGAGTTGCACCATAGTATTTTTATCATTTTATTTCTTTTTAAGTTTTAATTTTTAAGTACATTTTATTGATTATGCTATTAAGGTTACCCCAACTTTTTCCCCTTTGTCCCCCTCCATCTGGTACCCACCTTCCCTCCAGTGATGCCCTGCACTCTTAGTTCATGTCCATGGGTCATGCATATAAGTTTTTGGTCTTCTTCATCATCTATACTATTTTCAACATCCCCCTGTCTATTTTGTATCTACCCAAGTATGTTTCTAAATCCCTATGCCTTTCCCTATGTCAGTCCCCCCTTCCCCTTCCCAGCTGATAACCCTCCAAATGATGTCCATATCTATGGTTTTGTTCCTTTTCTAGTTGTTTGTTTAGTTTGTTTTTGTTTTTTAGATTCAGCTGTTGATAGTTGTGAGTTTGTTGTCATTTTAATGTTCATAGATTTGACCTTCTTTTTCTTAAATGAGACCCTTTAACATTTCATATAATAATGGCTTAGTGACGATGGGCTCCTTTAGCTTTTCCTTGTCTGGGAAGCATTTTATCTGCCCTTCAATTCTAAATGATAGCTTGGCTGGATAGAGGAATCTTGATTGTATGTCCTTGCTTTTCATCATTTTGTGTACTTCTTGCCTGCAAAATTTCTTTTAAGAAGTCAGAGAATAGTCTCATGGGAACCCCTTTGTAGGTAACTCTCTGCTTTTCTCTTGCTGCTTTTAAGATTCTCTCTTTATCTTTAAATTTTGGCATTTTAATCATGATGTGTCTTGGTGTGGAACTCCTTGGGTCCAACTTGTTTTGGACTCTCTGTGCTTCCTGGACTTGTATATCTATTTCCTTTGCCAAATTAGGGAAGTTCTCTTTCATTATATTTTCAAATAAGTTTTCAATTTCTTGCTTTTCCTCTTCTCTTCTGGCATCCCTATGATTCAGATGTTGGCCCTTTTGGAGGTGTCCCAGAGTCTTCTTAAACTCTTTTTTTTAATTCTTGTTTCTTCATTTTGTTCTGGTTGAATGTTTATTTCTTCCTTATGTTCCAAATTGTTGATTGTAATCTTGGCTTCCTTCCCTTCACTGTTGGTTTCCCTGTGGATTTTTCTTTATTTCCCTTAGTATAGCCTTCATTTCTTCCCTTATACTTTTGCCATATTCAATGAGATATTTGAGCATTCTGACCACCAGTGTTTTGAACTCTGCATCCTGTAGGTTGGCTATCTCCACATTGCTTAGTTCTTTTTATCGGGTTTTGTTCTGTTCCTTCATTTGGGCCATATTTCTTTGTCTCCTCATTTTGTCAGCCTCCTTGTGTCTGCATACTAAGTAGAGATGCTTTGATCTCCTGTCCTAGCACACGTGTTAGGATGTATGGGGCAGAGCTTTTGGAATTGCCAGGGCTGGGCAACCTACTTCCCTGCTTTGTGGCTTGTGAGGAAAAAGTCAAAGAGGGAACAATGCCACTGTTGTGGTGATTTCTGAGGCTTGTCTGGCACCTTTTCCAGTCACTTCATCCACTTCCCATATGCAACTGGTGCCCCTCTAGCTGCTGTCCTGGTTGTGATTCCCAGGGTTGAGTGGGTGTGTACATGGTCCAGGCTCTCCTGAGATACTAGCAGTTTCTTCTGCCACCCTAACGCCCCACTGAGTTTTCAGCCGGAAGTTATGAGGCTTTCTTTTTCTCAGCACTGGAACCCTGGGCTACATGGTCTGGCCTGGGGCTGGGATGGTTGGCTCACAAGGTGTCCCCCTGATTTTTATCACCACACATGAATGTGGGATCACCCATTCTACTGGCCACTGCTGCCTCACCACCCCTGGCTCACCACTGCAACACTGCATCCTCTCCGCCTCTACTCTCAGTCTCTGCCCCTCCTACCCATCTGGATTAATATAGCTTCTTTAAATCCTTGGTCGTCAGATATCCATACAGCTTTGGGTGTTTTTCTGGGTGATTTTCTGGCAGTTCTTGGTGTTTTTCATTTTGAAGTTAGTTGTGTTCCTTCTTACGGTTGCACGATGAAGTGAAGCATGTCTACCTACACCTCCATCTTGACTGGAAGCCCCCACAATAGTATTTTTGCTTTGTCAATAATTTTTAAACACAGTTATATTTCACCATTCCTTTAAAAATATTATATAATGATAATATTAACTTGGGATATAGAAAAGCAAGGTTCATTCTAACATTTCGACATTCTTTCAAATGCCTTATCTCATTACATCCACACAACAGAACCCTATGCAAAAGCCAAACATTCCCTTCTGACAAATATATGGGGAGTGAAAGTGAGTCCACAGTGAATTACAGTGATTTGCTCATGGAAGTAGCAAGACAGCTATCACACTGGAACTGGAATCCAGATCCGTTAATTCGTAGTCAAACTGAGCCCTACAGTAAATAATAAGATGACACTAAGACAACTTTCTGCCACAAAACTGCCCTGCAATACAGATGGGGAGTTAATGACAATCCATATGGATGTCATCAGCACTGAGTACTTTCTTTTTGTTTCAGTAGATGTTGATTTTCTTTATCTATACTATGTAATAGTCACTTCAGATATATGTTTGGATTCCCCAAACAATACTTTAATTTACCAATGAATTCCACAATAATTTTGTTTAATCAGTGATACCAATCAATCAACAGACATCTGTTGAGTATCTGTTGCATGCTAAAATTATACTCTGAAAGGAGGAGAGTAGGTGGGGATACACAGAATGAATTAATATATAATTAATATTAATGTAAATAAATATTAATAGTAATTAATATATAATATATACTTTATGTTAATGTAAAGTTTAAAAGACAAGAAATACTGATAGAAACAAATTAGCAGTATGAGACAATATATGGTATCACACATGATACAATCCAAAGGAGGAAATTCTGTAGGAAAAAGGCAGAAATGTTGGCTGTGGATCTTAGCACAAAAGACAAGAACCAGAGCAATAAAGTTCACTTCCACTGACTACAAAATGGACCATAAGCTCAATCTTTCTAACAAGTTTCCTGAAAGACCCATCATCAACAAATAGGAGAGAGCTGCATTCCTCTCTTCTAATGTTAAGCACTCTGCTTTCTCTCTTTCATGGTTTGTTTCACCAAGTTTTTGGTATTTTACTATAATTGAGAGATTCTAACATTAAAAAATAAATTGGATTTACATCTATGAAAGTACTTGTAAATGAGTGAAAGAAGGGTACATAAGCTGCTTTGGATACTAGGAGTTTTAAATTCACTGAACTTCAGCTGGGAGAAAACTTTATAATGAATCAATTTTTTTTTAGATTTTATTTACTTATTTTAGAGAGAGGGGAAGGGAGAAGGAAAGAGATGTGAGAGAAACATCAATGTGTGGTTGCCTCTCACACACTCCCCACCAGGGACCTGGCTCGCAACCCAGGCATGTGCCCTGCCTAGGAATTGAATCGATGACCATCTGGTTTACAGGCCAGCACTCAATCCACTGAGCTA